TTTTGAATGTCCTTTTATATGGTAAAGCTTTATCTGAAAAGAGGAGTCACATGAGTCAAAAAGGGTATAGTTAATTGTCCCAAGTGCTATTTTCAGACACATGTGTAAACGTTTTGGCTTTTTCTCTCCCCTTCCTTGGCAATAGTCTGAGTAATAGAAATGTATAAATGAAAATAGCTTTTCATTCTTTACTACATCAGGGATTATCTTCATTTCTCTGTAATATACAAAAAAAAAATCTGTGAACATGCAAACAGCTAGTTTCTTGTTTATATATTTTAAAATTATTATATACTGTTCACTAATTACCTTTAATGGATTTAATAGTGGGATTTCAACAACTGGTCTTACTCTGTGTGTACTGTGCGCTGTAAGTATCAGACAGTCACACTGCAGATTTCTCATGCCGGAGGGTGAACAACTTTGGTTGCAGCCTTTTTTGCAACATACAGTATAGGTTTCTTCTAAGGCAAGACAAAATTTATACATAGAGGTAACATTTGTTATAATATAGCCGGGAAAGGTGGATAAACCCTACTTTGTATAGGGCTTACCCTGCAACTGGGCTAGCCTTACGTCACTCACACTATAGTCACAGGACTATTTATCAAACCCAGCTACAGATTTGATTTGCAATTTAATCTACAAAATGCACTAAAATGAAAGTAATTCATTGATGCCTTTGCCCTGCCTGTATTTACTCATTTGTTCATACGATGCCACAGAAATATGAGTTATATTTGGCAGCACAGCTGTCTGCACCTGGGAAAGGCAGTTAATCTGCCTTCTCTCGGGTTAAGATATTCAGCAGGCCACTAAAGTGGCTAATCTTTATTTGCTCTGATATTTTCAATTTAGTTTGAAGTTTAGCTGATGAAGCCTTTTTATGGTGTTTCACTTCATTGCGTATCTTCCTTTATCTGCATGTTACAACTTGTATAATGTTCATATTGTCTGAGGTTCTTTGACAAAGCACCTTCTCTTCACTATGGCCTGAAATATTCTGTCTCCCACACAGTAATAAAACTTTTTATCTCTCTGGGTGTTGTTACTCCTACTAATTTATACAAGTACTTTTTCTTGTAATGCTTTTTTATCATTTGAAATAAGTTGCTTTGGGTTTCTCTGCTTTAGATACATAGGCAGGGGAAACTACTACCATTATTTAGGTTTCCTTTAAAATAAAAATAGCGATTTTTTTTTTTTTCTGAGGGATTTTTTTCAGCCTTTAGCTGGACAGTTAACACAATTCTGTTAATCAGAGCTGTTAATATAAGTCTCAGGTTTTACAGCAACCAGTTTCTCACCTGTCCTCGAGCAAAGCTGATGTAGGCATTGAATAGAGATTCCTTTGCTAGTGCTACAGTTTCCACCAGAGGTTCTCATGTGAAAGTGCACAGAACATCTTAGGCACAATATCAGTGTTACCAAGACCTGTTTCCTCAGCTTTTTCTTCTAAAACATGCCTCTTCATGAAAGCCAAAGGTTGACTTTCAGTTTATAGCCTGGGTTTGGCTTCGAAGACTGAGCGCTGTGAGGAGGCAGAACAGGAACATAGTAAAGCAGCAGGTGTCTTTCTTGGAATTATTTACCTTTGGTGACAATGGTTCCAAAATGGCTTATGACTGCTGGGGCAGACAAGGATTCCTGCACATAATAGTGCTAAGGGTATTTACACCCACCCACAGACAGCTTTTCTTCCCGCAGTTGCAGTGACCAGTGAGCCACTCTGTTATTGGACATCATCTACAAAGCTAAACAATAGAAACTGAAAAGAAGTCAGAGGAAAATATACCAGAATTGGGTTAAGGTGATTAAAACTGATGGATTAAAATTGATTGACTAAAAGTGCACATTGAAAAAATATACTTGTTTTCTACAATGGTCCTAAACTTGGAGGTGTAAGACGTCGCATTTTTCTGTTCATCTTTGGTAGGCAATTCAGTGAAGCCTGTATGGCTTATAGGAATCTGCAGAACGAGGTTTGCTATGATTGGAATTTATCAATATCTATGATGGCCTGTGTTAACTTATTAATTGCATCTTTTGTGTCAGTCAGTCCTATTCAAAATAATACATTTTAAAGTGCCAGTGGAAAGGAACTTGTGAAGGAAATATTGTGGAGAATTAAATGCTCTAGAAAATAAAAACCATAGCAATAATGATACTTTCAGTCAAAGTAGAAGTGCTGCCATGGCATCCTTTTCTTACTGACCTGGTATCTTGCCCCATTTCAATAAGATATTACCTGGAAAGGAAATCCAACATGTCAGTATATGTAATTTACCAGTATATCACTGTAACTTCTCTGATAATTATCTAGAATTAAGCTAATTTTCCCAAGATCTCTTTGGAACAAAATAAAATTTTAGAATAATGTTATAGCTTTAATTTAGCAGAGGAAATAAATAAGAAGTTTCAAAAACCTTCTATGGAACAGTCAAAAGATGGACTATGCTTAAAAGTGAGAGTAGATGTATGTAATCATTCCTTTTCAAGCAGAATGAACCAAAGTCCATTATTATAGTTCAGTATAGAAATCCACTCTGCTTGGAAGGTTATAAGAAATTTGATTTAGGCATTTTGGCTGTATCAGCCATTTACTGTGACATGGCCTAATCTAAATTCTTTGTGAACAACAGTTGTGTACAATGATCCACTTAGGTTTTGTACCAGCTTAATTCACTGAAGATGTTAGCTACGTACAGATTGCTTCTTGATCTGAGGTGTGCAGTGACATCAGACATGTACGAAGTGTTATCATAAGAGGAAATCTCTTTCCTGTCGTTCAAATTGTGACAGCCACTGAAGCCATCGCCGTGTACAGCAAAGATGTTGCATGCCTTTTCCAGTAGAGGTGTCTTTTATTAGACCAGCTAGCCTTGTTGGAAGAAGTAGCCAGTCTTTCAGACGCACAGTCTCTCCTTCAGGTCTGAAAAAGCACCACAAGGCTTTCAAGCTAAGTACAAATTCAGACCACTTGTTCTGAGCTTTGTGAGACAGGAACCAGCTCAAGCACCAACTGCCTGAGCTCAAGGGCAGCTGGAGCCTGTGGAGCAAAGTGGACATTAGGGTGTCATACAGCTGGTCAGTGGTTCCTGGGGGACTGAGAAGCAGATATTTTATGCCTTGTGGATAGTAAATTGGTTAGTAGAAGTAAGCAGACTATAGTGAGCATCATCTTAATTGAATCGCTAGGTTTGATGGTTCTGCAGAGCTATGAATTTTAGTTTTACATGCTTATCCTTAAAGCATACTTTGCGTGTGTCCATTTGGATTTTTCTTTTCAGTTTACAGCGGCCTGAAGGACAACAGGCAACTTGGGGTGAGTCATGTTTTCCAGCAAATGCCCAGGATGCTATTGCTTTGAAAACTGCTATTTTGCATGAGTTATTTACTGGAGAAGTCAAAGATGGGAGTGAGAGGACAGACAATAGGGGGCATTTGTGGAGAAAGGTCTGTATGGTTTTTATTACTTGGTAGTTACACAACCACTTTTTTAGCAGTATCTCCATCTCTAACTAATAATCTGCTAAATCTTTTGGTTTGTGTGAGACTGTGATCATTCCTTCTTCATATGACATTTATATAACACTTCTCCCCAGCAGACACTGGCTGCCTCCTGATTGTTTTGCTAACCTTTGCGGTTTATAAAAGGTGTTAAATTTTATTCTATGAGAGACTGTGCCTCATTTTTTAACACTATTCTTAAGTTCCCTTTCATCCCCAGACATTTCTCCTGGTCCTTTGCACAGCTCTTCCCTGCATTTTTCTGGCTACTACATCAGAGTCAAGACACACTGTATAGCTAACATTCAGTCTTAACATTCACTCTTTTTCAAAGCTTAATCTTCAGGCAAAGAGCAAATACGGCTGCCTGTGCTGTTGTGATCTAATAAGCTCCCTTGCACAGACCAGAGAACTTCTGCCATTAATGTGGCTTCCCGTAGAAGCATTCAAGGTGGTCTGTGCTGAAAGATTTTCTCTGCTGGGTTATTCATACACAACAGAACTCTTCACAGGGATCATGAGTCTCCATAAAGAGTGTTTCTGAATCCTTCCACTGCACAGGCACTGGAGGGTACGCTGACAGCCCTACAGCTGCAATTTCGCAGTTTTCCGTGGACTGGTGCAAACACCCCACATAGTCGGGCTTCTCAGGGAGTGCTCATTGTTTGGACTGAATATTTCTGTCATTCAGCAAACTTTTTCTTACTAGTTTCAACTTCTGGATAAGCTGCTACAACCAGAGGTTTGCAGAAAACCAAGTAAAGCGAGCAGCGCTATTTCTGAGTGACTTCTGTTACAAACGTGACTCACAGCAGCACAGATCTGAATCTGGCAAAGGAATGGAGACATCACCTTGAACACCTGGAACATGTGGGCTCCAGGTGACACTGAATGACAGAGGATGACCACCATGCTGGGGAGGCAAGGATACCTCCCAACAGCATTGTGTAATATTTGTGCATATTCACAGTGGAAACAGAACTTATTTCCATATCTAGACCAGTACCCCACCTCATTTTGGGTTATATTCCTGACAGATTCATTGTCTAACCCATAGTACCACTGTTAGCAACTGTGTCAGCAAACTACTGCAGTGTTCTGTTAATATAATGTCGGCAATGTTTCTGCCTATGGGTTTACTTTTGTTCTTAAAATACCTGTAAAATTGGCTTTAGGCTTCAAAATATCAGAGTACCCCACATCAGAGTGCTGTGATTAGATGCTGCCCACAGGGAATATTACCCTGTCTTGAACATAGTTCATTTCCCCAACACTGCAGATTTCTGCTGGGTTAAAGAAAGCAGGGTATGAATGATTCCAAGATTTCTAACATAAGCACTACCCAATAAATACCCTTCCCCCACTTGGAAAGTCTCTGGCCAAATACTGTCCTTCTGTTCCAGCTCCTCCTTACACGCCTCTCCCGGTTTCCGGATGGGTCCTGGCCCCCAGCCCTTATCTCCTCCAGCCCCTGGGCTGTTTACAGAGAGCAGTTATAAAGAGGCTGACCCAGCAGAGAGTGGAGGGGAATTACAAGGTGCAGGAAAACAGCAGCACCGGACCAGGCTGGGTGTCTGCTTGGCTCACCACGACCTGCTCCACACTATGGGGAAGGACGGGCTGCCCAGCAAACCAAACATCTTCCTCCTTCTCCTCTTCTTCCTTCCTGGAAATACCTCTCCCACCACAGAACCGTAAGCTACACGTGTGGAAGGGGGAGGGTGGCCTTAGTGCTCCTTTTTTCCTTCCATTTTCTTCCTTTCTGTCATTCTTCAAACAACTGTGCCAGTTTCTTCCACTCCTGCCCTGCATTCCACTACTAGCCAAGCCCTGAGCTTCCTGCACAGCTCTGCCAGTCCTCACTTTCTCCCTGCAGCCCCCTGGTTGTCCAGCCCTGGGACCCCCCCCACAGCTCTGCCAATGCCCACACTCCTGCCCTGCAGCTGCCTGCTAGTCCAGCCCTGGATCCTCACAACACCTTTGCCTAAGTATATCCCTTCCTAGAAACTTTCAGGTGCCTGGGTTTTCATAGGCACGATGCCAGAATCTATGTACTTACCTTTCCCGTAGCATCCTTGTTTCGATCTCTGAGTTATTTCTCCCCCACTCTCCCGCTGCTTTCAAGCCGCTTTGCTCCCCTTTCTCCTGTTTCTTTCAAGCCCGTTTGTTTCCCTTGGCAGCATCAGATGTACTTGTTCCCAAAGAGGATCTGTGACCTAGATTCTCTTCCTCTGGCACAGAGCCCGGTGCTGGCACCCTTCCGCTGGGGCATCCACCCCGGGGCTCCGCAGACCAGCAGCATGGCTGCAGCGCCCGCTCTGCTGAGAGCCCCGAGGAGAGGAGCAGCCCGGGACGGCACCGGCAGACCGGAGGCTGGCATCCCCACCCCAGCCTCACCTAACAGAGAGGATTGCTCCACAGCCTCTAGTCTGGATGGGAGCAGCCTCCCTCTTCAGACCCCGGCTGCTGTCACACGCTGCGCCTCTTGCCACGCTGGCAGAAGCACAGTTCTCACCACCGCGGGTCTCCTAATTCCTGCTACAGAGATTTCATGCCCACCAGCACCGCAGCGGTGCAGAAGGTGCAGTGCTGCTGCTGCTGCTGCCTACTGTGCGGTCAGAGGTAAAGTGGTGACTGGCTCAGGCTGAAGGACCTTTGACTCGCACTGTGCCATCAACCTCCCATGCTTCTGCTCTGTTTGGGTGCTCCTGGGGCAGATCAGCCAGCCAAGTCTGCTCCGGGGTCAGGCTGAGCTCTCTGGTCTCCCTACAGTAATCTGAGGTGATTAAGTAATTAAGATTAAGTAATTTTAATTCATCCCTGCCCAAGATCAGGGTGAAAGGGAATGAATCCGTACTGCTCAGTCCTCTCCTGTGAGCAACATGCGACTCTTCATCCCTGTCTTGAGCACCATTTTGGGAGGGAAGAAAGAGGAAGGGCTGAGAGAGGTGGGAGAGAGAGGAGTATGGTTGGGATCTACAGAATGAAGATGGGAGCCCAGTAAACAGTTGGGGAGCAGGGAGGCAGTGGAGTCTGAACAGTGAACTGCTGGGAACGTATGAGGGTTGTGGTTCTGTTTTAAGTGCTACAGGGTAGATCAGGGGCTGTGTGTGACACAGAAGGAAAGCCACCCTTGAACTGAAGACAAAATGAAGCTTCCGACCAAGGCTTGCTTCCTGTGCCCAGCACAAGTAGGGAGATAGCTTCTTCGAGCACCAGCAGTTGCTGTTATTTCTGTTTCAGATGTGTCCAGCTGCACAGGAGACGCAATTAAGGTACAGACTATGTACTAGAAAAAGACTTATTCACCAAGTTAGTGCAGCACTGGAACAGGTGACCCAGAGAGATGGTGGAAACTCCATCTATGGAGTCCTTTGCAATAGTCCTCTTGCATGAGAGAAGCTGGGCTTGAGACGTCCAGAGATCCCTTACAACCAAAAGTTTTATGATTCTGTAAGATACTGGCAGCAAGATTTTTTTTTCTTGCTCTGGAAGAATTCAATAAGAGATATTGTTCAATAGGAGGTATTGTTCTCCTGTTCTGATATGTGGTTGTTCATGCCAGCTACTTTACAGTGCAGTGTACGTGCTTGGGAATATGCTGCACATAGTCAGAAATGTGAGGTCATCATGGCACATGAATTGGCAGGTGTGGATTTGGACTGATGGAGCTGATGAAATTCACCGGCTTCTTCGTTTGGGTGTTTGTTCCAGGAGGTAACTGAGAGCCAATACACAGATGTTAGTCTCTATCTTAAGCTAGAGTATTACCTTCTGTATGTAAATAAACTCATCATTTTTGCCTCAGCCACTTTCTCTAGGGTCTTCTATCCCTCCCTTGTTGCCTGCTTCTGCCTCTGTTTTCAAAACACTTTGTTGCATGCAGGGAGGCTGCTGAGGTCCCTTTTGGCAGCCCAGATGCTTTTCGTCCTGGAATGTCTATACATGGGACTTTGTGACCCAAACTGTTTAAAGCCCTCATAGTAATTTAACTCCTCTAGCTCTTTTCACCAACACATCCCAAAACAGCTAAAGGGAGGTCTATAAACAGCGTATTTCAATCCTTGTTTCAAAGGCAGGGAAGCCAGTCTAGGGGCAAGTTCTGCGCGTTGGCCAAAATTTCAGAACAACAGTGAACAGGAAGAGGAATGAGGCCAAATTCCCCACGAACTAGGTCACGCTGTCCCTTTGGTAGACTGGACGTTACAGTTCGATTGCCAGTGCCACTGACAGGGGCCAGGGGAAATGAGATTAGGGGAAGCAGGCACAGGGTGAAGCGGTGGTAAGAAGGCTGTGGAGGAAGGGGAACGCTGGAGCAAGCAGATAGTCACAAGCTGTAAGTCACTCCTTGGGTGGCTGGAGCTCCCTCCTTTTACTGCTTCTGCAGCAACATGCACTGACCAGAGCTGCCGCCTGGCTCCTCGCCATGCTTTATCCTTGTGGTGGGGAAATGGAGGCATTGCCTGGGTCCCACTGCCTCCACAGTAGCTTTAGGACTGCACAAAAGCTCAGAGTCCAGGCGATAATGTAGCTCTGGATGGGCCCAGCTATCTCCAGGGATGGCACCATCTGGCAAGGTGCACATTATCCTTCCCCAGAGGAGGGCCCATGGAAAAGTGGTATGAGCAGTCCTGACTGCAGGTTTCCTCCCATGCACGTGGTGATTAACATACCCTGCAGATTGAATTGCCACCAGAACCTCCTGCAACTGCATCTGGATAGCTTGAATGTGCGCAGGGAAAAGGGAATACCAGGTCCATAAAAATGGCCCAGCATCAGACCAGGGGACCTAGCTCTGTCTTCTGGCTGTGTTGGTGGCCAGTCATAGGTGCTGAAGAACAGAGTAGAGGAGCAAGGCAAGTGGTGTGGAAATGAATTTTCCATCTTCTGTAGCCTTATGGAGCTTCTATCAACTAGAGGTTCAAGGTCTTAAAGCGGCAGGGATTACACCTGTGCTGCTATGTTTTCTGGACATTTTTGGGCAGTGAACTTACCCAAGACATTTTTGATAATAGCTGATCATCTTGCCCTTATGAGCCTCATCCCAAATTTTATGTAGCTGGTGCCACAGGGCACACACCATATGCCTTGGAAAGTTACTGGGAGGTGGGGAGTAACAGCTTCTTTTAAGGGCCTGCACTTAGCTGGACAGGCAGGTAAGGCCTTAATTATCCAACTCAGTGGCACCTGCCGGCACCTTTTGTTCCTCACCCAGGGAAGGACAGTCGGCTGCTGTCTGTCATCTGAGGCAGCCTGGCTATATGTGCCCTTCTTGGGCTGCTTGAGGGCACAAAAGCTGGCCGTAAAAGAATGGTACATTTGGATTTTACAGCATGTAGTAGCACTAAGTTCCTCAGCTTAATTTTGTACGTTATTGAAAAAGTTTCTGCTTCCTTCTATTTTTAAGCCAGCTGCTTAATATTTTCACCTGGTATTGTTTACTACATTCACTGTCACAGGTGTTGAACAAACCGTACTTTCTTATATGCACATCATGACTTTACAGCTGTCTGTCCTGCCTTTTTCCAAGCTGAAGAGTCTTAATCTATGTAGTGCCTCCTCCTATGGAAATCACTCCAGATTTCAGATCATCTCTGCTGTGTTTCACTGAATCTTTTCTGCTAAATGCTTTTTTAAAATGCACGCCATATGGGAGATGTGGAAGTACCTTGCAATTTAACAATGGCAAAACGATGTGTTCTGGTTTGTCCTCTATTCCTTTCTGAAGAGTTCCTTATGGTCCATTTGTTACTTATGACTGAATGAGGATTTGCCAAGAGTGAACAGCGGTCATGTCTGAGTGGTAATAGCCCACTAAGTGATACAGGATTTATATGATAGCAGATATACCATTGGGATATTTTTTCCTTCCTCTATTGATTGCTTCTCCCTTATGAACTGTTCGTTTGCCATTTTTGCTACACAGTCTCACCATATGACAAAAGTTTTCCACCAAAAAAAATGTAAGACAGTATTAGGTATTTTCTTACCCTGGACAATTATCAGAAAATGGTACTTGAGAGATCATTTAGAAATATACTGAACAACAGGGGTCCCAACACAGACTCCAGAGATTTTCACTGGTTCTTACCATTTGTGTCCTATCTTTTAAACAATTAAACCAGGTCAGAAATAATAATTTGATTCATTAGTAAAAAATTAGTAAAATGATCCTTTTAACTGGGTGGCAGCTTAGTTTAAGGGTCTTTTGTGAGGGACCTTTGTCAAAAGCTCTTTGAAGATGCGAGTATGCTTGTGTTGCAGTAAACCACTACTCTGAAATCCTTTGTGTGCTCATCTTAGTAAGATCCCAAACTGCAAGCACTCACATTTTTGCTCAGCATGAGAAGGGTTTGGAAACCTGGATAGGCAAAGACAGGAGCAGCCAGACAAGTGGGTGTTTTTTTCAACACTAAAACTGCTGAATTTCCAACCTTTTTTAGCTAATGCCGTTGAGTCTCAATAGGAGATTGTGGGATATACAAAAATCAATTAACAGCCTGGAACCTTTCACACCGTCCTTACTCCCTTCTGTGAAGCAGAACAAAACATCCTTTGTAAAGGACTCTATTAGCATAGAAATTGTTCCTTCTACAGCAAGCATTTTCCTCCTTTTAGGCTAATTAGTTAGGCAATTTAATATGTATAGCACCAAAATAAAATGAATGCTCATGTGTATGTGGACCACAATTCACAGGGACAGTAATGGATTAGGCATGCTGATTTGTTAATTTCCTTTCACTTAATACTCTTTCCTTAAAACCGTTTCACATTTCTGATCCTTCTGATCCTTGCTTCTCTCTCTTCCTAAGGCAGTACATGGTGCTACTGCCCTTTCTGATACACACTGATTCTTCTGAGAAAGTCTGTGTGCAGCTGACCCACCTGAATGAGTCTGTGACACTGAGCACCACACTCGAGTATCAAGGGGAAAACAGGAGCTTGATTGATGACGTAGTGTCGGAGAAGGACGTGTTCACCTGCATCCCTTTCTCTGTGAGTATCTCATCCTTGTGGGGGCTCATCCCTTGTGTTTATTGATGTGGTGTAGTAGATCTAAAAAGTCCAGAAATGAGAAATAAGACACATTGCAATCAGAGACTTCTAAGCTAAGCCACACAAAAAATTAATTTGATGTAGAAAATTGACCGTAGTAGCCTTACGAGGAATGATTTTCCACCATTATCAATACTATGTCCCACATGATATTTCTGTGGATGCAGAACTCTTCTGGGATCCTTCATCCTAGAACTTTGACTGACTTTAAAGCAGAACATACCCCATGTTTGTTTGATCTGTGTAAGCCTCAGAGGAAAAATAGGGAAGTGGAATAAGAAGTACAGAAGTTGAGGAATGGTTAAAGACAGTGAGGTCCAGGAGGTCACTTGTCTCCTTCTGGAGTTTATTCATGATTGTTTCCTGGAGAAGGCTGGTTGGTGAGTAATGTAAGCAAGTGGTCCCAATCCCTAAATAATTAATCTGGGCCAATTTCCATTTTGGATAAATCATAGGATGGAACAAGATCAGATTCAATATTTCTCTAAGGAAAGTCTACTAACGAGGGAAGGGAAAAGACTTTCAGTATTGGAAGGAGAGGAAGCATGGAGAAAACTCAAGGAAATAGAGAAGATCTATCATTGCAACAATTCCTGAAAGAAAAATATTTTCTTGAGACAGAGGAGACAAGCCTTCCAAGTTCATATCAGAAAATAATGTTTTTTCTCTTCCTTCCAGCACTGAGTCTTTGGTGTCTTTTTAGGGAACTTTTGGACCTAGCTAATACTCCATCCTTTAAAGGCTTACTGCAATGGGGTGAATCAATAAAGCAGTTATCCTCTTCATTTTCCTTAGCTTCCAAAATCCAATAGCACATCAGTGGCATTTCTCACTGTGATGGTGAAGGGGGCGACCCTGCAGTTCAGGAGCCGCAAGTCGGTGCTGGTCAAGAATTCTGAGAGCTTGGTCTTCGTCCAGACAGACAAACCCATCTACAAGCCTGGACAGACAGGTACAAGGAATTTGGTTGGTGTTGACTCTGACAGCAGAAAATCCTATACGTTTCATTCCCCAAAGGTCCCATAATTTTATTTAAGTTTCCAAACTTCTTCATGGGAGGAGTTAAAGTGCTCAGTAAATCTTATTTCTGTCAGCTGAGATCTAGGGCATGTGGTACCTTCGTCATTCCTATTCTCCATCCTCCAGGCACAGCATCGCAGCCAGATGTAGGCACAGGCTCAGATTCATTCTACTCAACTAGAGGCATGAATCTGGGATGACTTCAAAGCATAGTCTCCCTTGGCTGCACCTGAATCAACAAAGCAGGACAGGCACTCCCAAGGGACAATTCAGTTCAGCCAAGACCTGATAATGCTTCTAAATTTGTCTGCCTCTCACCATCTTCAAGAGAAAGAGCCTGAAGTAATTGCTTCCATAACTTAGAGATCTCAATTCACAGCCTGTTGATCCGCGGAATGAATCTGAGTTTAAATTATTGAAACACTGAAATTTCCTGGTAATGGCTACAAATTTAACAGTGGAATTTCCTTCTTTTCCGTTACACCCTTCAGTTCTGTTTCGGATCGTCTCTCTGGACAAAGACTTCTACCCGCTGAATGAGAAGGTAGAGCCATAATTCTTTGTTATTAACCAGGAGGCTTAATTCCCAATTAACAGTATCACTGTCATCATTCAGAACCACTGAAGACAGCCTTTAAAGCATATGATCCTTTCTTACTCACACCATCCTTGACACATTGCATATCCTGTCCTGGGACACACGTCACCTGTCTCTATTCACTGCGAAACCTATCCCCTTTTTCAAAGAAATATAGGTATTTAAAACCAGATTAGCAAAGGAATGTATGTGACTAAGCACGTAGGCAGGAATCTCATTACTGAAAAAATGGGTGGGACAAGTTTCCATTGAAAGTGGCAGATGTGCAGATGTTTCTGAGAACAGGTGCAACTACAAGCTTAGAGGCAGAGAGCGCAACATGGCAAGGACTTGTTTTTGAGGAACTGGTCATTGATGTCAGTCCACCTTTTAGCTTATTTGGCAATCAGTTCCTCATGCAGACAAGTTCTTTGAAAACTCTTCATCCTATTTTCATACTGTGGTAAGACAGAAAGTTTTGTCTCTAAAATATTAACAGAATAGATTCCCTTAACCATCACTAACTAAGGAAATAAAGCAAGCACAGAAAAGGGAGAATCCAAAGGACTCCTTAGAAGGTTGTTTTTGTACCCTTCAGTCCAAATCTGGAAATTACTTCCATCCATATATGGCCCATATTTTTAACTCTGATTTTCCTTTGTTCTTTCCCCACAGTTTCCATTTGTCTACGTCCAGGTGAGTGGATAACTACATGTATATTATTTCAGCAGAATGTGCAGGCACAGAGACAGTAGTCTGCAGCAGTGGTGTTCTCAGGCTGAGGTGCAAGAGAAAAAACATGGGCGCATGACCTTTTTCCTTTGTGTAAAGGAAGGCTGAGTAGTTGGGCACCAAAATAAGTTCCGACAATGGTTCTTGGATTGGGAAATGTGACATAGGACCAAAATAGTTAATCAGTGCAAGCCATGCTGTGAACAGAATTACACTTGCCTAGAGGTCATATGAGAATGGCTTATTACTCTTCCCAAGCAGAACTAAGATTTTCTGTCTGCCAAGTGTGGCTGAAACCGCAGAACTGTGTTAAACAAACTAGGGAAACTAAGGAAACAAAATTATGTAAGTAGACATTCCCTATCTTCGCTGGCATGCCCTTTTTGTCTGTTTTTTTGAAACAGTTGAACTTCAGTGATAGAGAAAATAGGAAGGATGTTTCTGTCAATGATTTGAGTACCCACTTTTTCAGCTGAGAAACCAGAATTTAGAATTATTATCTGGGACATCTTCTAGTGAAAAACTGATAGGAAGGATCCGGCAGTGGACTCTGAAGCCATGATAGCAGCACAAACAATGCCGAAATTAGTGTGCACAGATCTTAAGTTGGTTTGCATGATTATGGATCCTCTGCAGTCAGTCCTGGCATTGCTCCTTGCTGCTTGGGGCTGCAGTATTCATTCTGCCCTGTTTCTCTCTAGAGCTGGGAGTGTTGCCACAACAGGCAAGGCAGAAGCTGAGCCAGAAATGGACTATGCTCCTATTTTCTACCCTCCTGTCAGAGTGCTGTCACTCTCTCTTCCCCTCAGCTAATTTCCAGAACAGAGCTGCAGAGCTGGTGGGCCACTGACAGTCTGTGAATATTTGAAGAAAGAAGAGTAAGAGAGTGTGTGGTGTGGGATAACAGGTGGAGGAGAGCATCTCAGAACTACCTTCTGCTGAGGCTCTCCCATGCGGTTGTAGAACAGGTCCCTTCCCTTTCAATAAGATGATACTTGACTGAGGAATTTCAGGAATTTCATGAAGGGAACAAGAAGAAATAAATCCTACCCACTGCCTCCAGAAATCCCATATGCCTTTGCCTAACAAGCTGATAATTTCATAACCTTTTTTGTGTCAGTACCTTGAAAGGCTTCAATTTTAAATCACTAGGAAGACCACCCTCTCTTTTCAGCTCCAGCCTGTGAGACATGGCATTTGTCCGTGCTGTTTAAGCCAGCTTACGTAGGCCTTGTCCACCATCCCCACCATCCCATCTCCCTTCCTCAATGCTCATTCTTAGTCCAGCACTGCCCTTTGTTAGGCTTTCACAGATGCCTACAAGGCAGTCTGGTAGGCTGGGAAACTCATTTGGCAGCAAATTCACCCTTTTTCGCTAGGGTATTTTTTTTGGCCAGATCAGATCAGCCAGTGGAGTTTACCACATGCTTGAATGAAATTTGGACTGGCCCAAAGGAAAGGGTGACAGGAGTGAAGAAAGGTGACAGCTTAAAGTCAGCAGTGCTAAGGAAATAAATGTTCATCAGTCTACACCCTTAATGTCACTAATTGATGGTAGTCAGCCACAAAGGCAGAAGTTAGTATAAGCCTATTATTTCTGAACTGTTATCCTAAGCTATTTTTTCATTAAAAAAAACCAAAACCAAACAAACAAAAAAAAACCCCACCTTTCTGAGGAAAACCAAACAAACTGACTTTCAGGTCTTACCTACAGAAATGTCAACAAGTTCACAAGCCCAGCTGTAAACATTTTCTTGAATTCCTCCTCCAAGGAAGCCCCGTGGTGTCCCTCACAATAAGTGGTGAGCTTTTCAGCAGGGTTGAAGTGTGATGATGAAGAGAAATTGGTCAGACCTGTGGGATGTGTTTTACTGACTGTGCCTTACTCTCGGGGTGCTGCGTGCTTGCCCTCTGGCCAGTGACCACCAACTGGGGGATGTCATTCGCATCCCCTTTTCCCTAAGCCCTGAGATAAAATCTCAGTGAAGTAAATGCATACAGTCACATACCTTGAGTCACATACCTATCTAGAGTAAATAGACTTTTGGTGACAGCCAAGGTACAATGCAAAGAGCAGGCAGAAAATTAAAGAATGTAAACATTAACCATCCTGCTGAGGAGCCTGAAAAGGGTGCATCGAACTATGCAGCACTGCTGCATTGGTTCAGTCACTTTTACAAGAAATTTGGGGCTGAGCTGATGAGTTTGGAGCACAGCTTACTGACAGTCAAGTCAGTTCATAATGAGCAAATACTCAGCTGCAGTAGTGATGAGATTTCAGCTCCAGCATTAGGAGTGAGGAGAGACAAGACGGGAGAGGTCTCACCTGGATGTACGTATGTGGGCTATACTTTCCTCTGTTCCTGTCCCAACTCCCCCACCCCACCACAAGCTTTGGACTCTTGCACATGTACATTTCTCTGTCCCATAGATAGATTGGGTGTCTTACTCCTCAGCAGATTATGCACTGGTACTCAGGCAGTCTCTATTCCAGGCATGGAAAAAAAAGTTTTAGCAGGCTGTATAGCAAGTGAAGGAGACTGAAATTTCCCTCCGTTCTCTCCTGTTCCACTTACTCCTGCTATCCATCTCTTTGTCTTGTTACCTTGCCAGTCTGTCTTTCCCAGCTGTCTGGCCCCATCCTTCATAAGCATGCATGTAGAGCTGAGGGGGAGACAGCGCAGGACCTCCAGGGTTAAAATGCTTTCTTGCATGCTAGTTATGCAGAATTGACAGGTAAGAGCTCACAGATCCTCACAGATTATTGAATAAATACATCTAGGCATTTCCCAGACAGGATGTATATATACTGGGCACACCACTACTCTGTCCCCGGGAGCCTCCTGTACTGTCTTGTGACTTTGAGTTATCCTCACCTGCAGGATCCCCAGAGGAACCGTGTGTACCAATGGCAAGGGGTGGAACTAGAGACCGGCCTTACACAGCTCTCCTTCCCCCTCACCTCAGACCCCATCCAAGGCTCCTATAAAATAGTTGTGCAGAAGAGCTTCTCATATCATGTGGAACACTCCTTCAGTGTGGAGGAATATGGTAAGGAGAGGAGGTATGGGCTGCAAGTGGGGCTGACAGCAATGCTTTTTACTGTGACTTCTCGATTTGGGATTTCCTGGGAATGGCATGGAGAAGGGAGGGACTGAATACAAAGGCAATAGGGTTCAGAGAGGCTGACCCAGAAAGTGCTGAGTATCAGAGGTTGTGGCTCACTTTACGGCATCTCTGCAACCTGCCTGCGCTTGTATTTGCTCATAATCCTCTGGGTATTACAGGGTCTGACTGCCTTCCTGGGCATGGTTTGTGTCACCAGTTTCAGCTGACTTTGTTTTAGTTGCTTTTCAGTCCAGCAGCTTGTTGCAAGTAGCACTAGATACAGAGTAAGAGATGGCAATATTTTAGTGATCCTGTTTTGCCTCTCTCATCATCTGCATCAGTTCCATTTGTCCACTTGTAGTCCTCTCTGGTTTTCCGCTTCTTTCTTGCTACTGCAAAAAAACTTAGAAAACATGTTTGGTAGAAAACCTGAGTTTGAAGAAGAACACTGCACAAATGTTACAAGCAGATGCAAACAGTCTGGCAGTAGAGAATGACTAAGGAGAAATGCACTGTCCCAGGGAGCACTCTAACCCCCAGTTCTGTAGTAAAACTTCTCAGGTGTTTGTAGACACATAGATTCTGGCTAGGCTGTGTGTGTTGGAGGAGGGTGCTTGGCCTGTGCTCCGCACTCCTGGGCTAGATTCCCTAGAACTGTCTGGACATGCAAGACAGTTTCACATGCTACTTACTAGTGAGCCTAACAGCAGCTTGGTATCTCCAGAGCAGTAACAGACAGATAGAATCAGTGGTTCGAGCTGTTTCAATGACACAGGTGGTGAATGTGCTAGTCCAAGTCTTAGTTGCAAATTATGTATTGCAAAACACAGAACACAACACACAGGGCCAGTGTGTCTTTCTGAATGGGCATATGTAAGGGTTCTACACAGCTGTCTGGAGCCAATGTGATCACATGAGCATGTGCTGCAAATGAGGGAAGGTAAGGGACACAACCCTCCTTAAATTCCCTTTAAACCCAAAACGGTGGTGAAGGATGAGCAAAGCTAGGGAAGGGCTGGCAGAGCTGTACTGCAGACCACAGAGAATTGATGGTTCATATTAAGATGATCCTCGCTCTGTCTTTGGGTTGCTATACAGTACACTGCTCTCCTTCACTCTTCTCAGACTTTCTTTCTCCCATCTAGTGCTGCCCAAGTACGAGGTGCTGGTGAAGCTGCCCAAGATGATAACTATTAAGGACATGGAACTCCCAGTGTCCGTCTGCGGTCTGTGAGTCACAGAGCTGGAGTAAATCTCTCTCGCTTATTCTTCACTCCTCCTTTCTGCTAAGGGCTGAAAGAAGACTTGGGGAAGGCTTCTCATACTCTTCCCAGACATCTAGTGCAGGCTTGTTCCACCCTATCAAACCTGAGCCTGCTACTTGGTCTGAAAAGTCAAAGTGAAGGGTCTTCTTTATGTTCCTAAAAAGATTATGCCAAACCAATCTGCAGCTCTCTCCTCCCTGTTTACTGCATGTTATCTCTTTCTGTCTTTACATTTCTTCAGTTATAGCTTCTCTGTCAATCTTGAACTGTCAAATACTGAGAGATGTCAGATCAGACATCACTTAAACAGGTGGTGTGAACCCAGTGTTGTCATTTTTAACTCATAAATTGCTCCTCCTGAACCCCTGGTTGCCTTTCTACTCCTTCATTGAAACCTCAGGAATTTGAGATACAAGGCTACGTCTGGCTGAAATAATTTTCTACAGACAATCTTTTACTGCATGCCTGAAGAGACCTCCCACCTAGAACAGATTCTAATGGATGATGGAAGAATCTCACTATGGAAATGATGGAAACGTAATCACTAGAATCATTAAAATATCAGATTAGTTAGCCTTTAAGAAGAAATATTAGGAAGTCATCCACAGAGGTCTTTAAGGAGATGTGTCTGATTGTGATTCTCTGACTGTCTCATCATCTATTGTTTAACACTTCATGATTATAGGTACACCTATGGGAAACCTGTTCCTGGTTTGGTGAATGTCCAAGTGTGCCGGAAATTTTCCCATTCTGCTTCAAATTGTTACGGAAAAGAAGCAGAAGCTGTGTGTGAAGAATTCACTAGGCAGGTAAGTCCAAAGATTAAAATGTAGGGGTCTTTCTTATCGGTAGCGGGCAACATTGTCTGAAGGAGGCCAACTCTGTGACTGTTGGGAGACAGTAGGACACCAGAGATGGCACTCTGTCTGGGGAAAAGCAGATGTTCTCAGAGGAAGGCATTTTTAAGAGGTGGGTCATTAAACTGGAAACAGAACTGATGAAGAAAACCCCACATCTGAAATCCTGACCCCATTGAAACTAGTGACAAATCTCCAGTTAGCAGCTGTGAGGTCCCTGCTATTGATCCCCAAACTGAGAAAAGAATCTGTGAAAGAATTTTGTGAAGGAAGAAAAACAGAAGTTAGGAGGGAGTTAACAAGGAAACAAGTGCGTGCCTTGGAGAACTGAGTGTTAAGTACTACACAGAACACAGAAAATGTGTGGATGAAACACTAGGAAACAGGCTGTAAACAAGTTCTGGACTTGAAGACAGCCCTAGAACATAAGGCTGGGATTTCGTGACAGAAGTTAAGCATGTTGGGTTTGGGGTATCTATTCCTGTCCCACAAAGCACCAGATTTGTTTTCAGAATTCCAATTTTCTCTCCAATTCCCTGCTCAGGCAGACGCTCGCGGGTGTGTTTCTGGTGTAGTAAGGACCAAGATATTTCAGCTCCAGCGCAGGGGATATGAGATGAGCATTGAGGTACATGGCAAAATCACAGAAGATGGCACAGGTATGTATCACATAGAGATGGCAAAGTGATGGTAAGCCATGACAGGAGGACCTGGCAAAGATGAGGAAAGCCGAGATACATGCCTAGAAATGCTTCCATTCATTAATAATTCCTTTTTACTGTGCTCTCTCTCAGGAGTAGAGATGACTGGCACAGGCTCCTGTGGAATCACACCCGTCATGAGCAAAATCAGCTTTGACTTGCTGGACTCTCAGTACAGACCAGGGATACCACTCTTTGGGAGGGTAGGGAACTTCTGAGACCCTGGACAATAAATGGCATAGTAAATTCACAAGTGCACAATCCCGTCAGATGGAATAGCAGCATGCAAATGACATGGTCCACCTTCCTCTGCCTTTGCATAGGCAGACGAATTACTGTCAGTCAGGGCACTTTAACAACACGTGGCCCTGAACATCCTGGCAGTCAGACCAGTACAGCATTGAAGGCCCGTGGTTCTGACACATTAGAGTAACATCAAGGAGCAGCAAGTGTGGGCTATTCCACAAGGGAACGTTATCCAAGTGCAAAGGGTGACCACAACACAGGTAGGCATAGTGGCTTCATCAACAAACACACAGTCCCACACTACCCCACCAGACTGAGCAGAGGAGGGGTGGTGACAGTAACAGGTTCCACCAACAGACAACGTGAGGCAATGAGTCAGGGCTGAGCTCAACCAAGGAAGTCCAATCGACCAGATGGGAACAGCAGAGGAAAGAGCTGGGTGTAGGTCTACCTCCAAGGTAGCTTTAGTCAAGGACTGGGGCAAGGCACAAGCCTGAACTTAGAGTTCCTGAACCATGAGGCAGATTATATGTGGTGAAGGTCCCAGATGAAGCTAGAAAGGGGAATTAAAACCTACTGAGGAACTTAGAGCTCTGACAGATAATTTCCCTAGGCCTATCAGATTGTTTTGCTGAGAATTTTCTCAGTTGCTGCCTCAGACAACTCAGGATGCACCCCACACATTTCCACATTCATGTATTTTGTTACTCTCCATAAGAAACATCTTGCCTGTCAAGGAGGAAAAGGAGGAAGAGGCTTTAAGACTCGCGAATTGTTTTCTGTTTCTAGTCTAAAACCTGAAGCTTGTTTTTGCTTTGCTAGGTGACGCTGGTAGATGGCACTGATGCTCCAATTGCCAATGAAACCATCACGATTTCTGTGGATGGAGACAGATACAAAGGGAATTACACTACAGATGAACAGGGACAATCCTGGTTTTCCATAGACACTACCACCTTCACACAACCCTCCCTGGAAATCCGAGTGAGTGGCAGAGACAGGGCAGAGGGACTGGGGTAAGCCTCTGTCTTTCTGATCAGCAGGGGAAATATCTATCCATGGGTTATCAGTCTTTCTGCCAATCAGAAGATAAAGCAAGTTTCTTGGCAGGTCACCTCTCTTCTCTCTGTCTCCTGTGCGTAGCTTCTTCTAAGAGTGGGAAATATGGAACATACCCAGAGTGTTTCTGTGGACTTTCATGTGACTTGTTACCTGGTTTTGGACAGCTGTGAACTTTTTATTCTTCTTTATCAGGCTGATCATAAACCTGAACTGAACTGTTATGACAGCGACTGGATCACACCTTCATATGAGCATGCCATGCGTAGAATAAGTCGGTTTTACTCCCCCAGTAAGAGTTACCTCAAAATTGAGCCGAAGCCTGAGACATTAAGTTGTGGCTCCCCCACAGAGATCCAGGTTCACTATATCTTCACACCAGAGGCAATAGGAGAGCAGAAGAAAATTGTCATTTACTATTTGGTAAGAATTATTTGTGGTTACTTTGATATACGGCCACAGAGAGCACTGTGGCACATATAGCTACTTTCCGTGACGAGCAAGCACAGCACTGGTCAGTCCTTAGCCAGTAATGATAAACAGAGTTTGAAACTGCAAATGTGGCCTGTGGCAGTGGGATTTAAACACATTTCTGTAATGTTTCTCATGTTGTCTTATATATGTAGACATGGGTAGGGTGTACATGTTTTATTAAGAACAGAAAAGAGACAAAATGTTGATGGAGAGAGCATTGTCTTGCGTGTAGCCATCCAAGACTCTCATTTCACAATACTCCACTCCCAGTTCCCCCATTCCAAATTCATGTTCATATATGGTCACAGCTCAGAAACCAGCATTCTACAACAAGAAGATGAAAGATGAGGAGGAAAGCAGCCTCCTACTCAGTTTTGTCCTTTGGTAGTCAACTGACCGCTGAAACTGAAGCAACACCTCTAACTTCACCACCAGAAAAGCCCAATAAGCTTAGAGCTTAAGTCATATATCACGCAATGATGGAGGGTTTGGGAGAACAAAAAGAATTAGGTGAATATTCAAACAGAACTTCTTTCCCCCTAAATTTGTTTTTCTGGTTTTCTTATTTAGTGATACTAGCAGAAGAGATGAGGGTAGACTTGGAGAGCTAGAAGAAATCAGTGGAACAGACACTCCTGTTCTGATGGATGGTACAGAACATCAGGGGGACTTAGACTGAGATTACAAAAAAGACAATAGAAACCTGTGGTAGAGATGTCCATGTGCTTATTTTCAAGACTGCTAAGAATAAATTGAAGCAAAAGATTCCTGTTTATCCCGGTAGCCTGGGAAAGCTGATCTTGAGTATATAGCAGGTAACCAAACAGTGAAGGAACTTACACTTTACATCTTAAAATTAAAATTCAGTGCTATGGAATAGATACCCTACATGGAAAGTACTTGTATAAAGGCCTGTTGGTTGTGAAAAAGGAAACTAGGAAACTTTTTCTAGAAATGAGGAAATTACAGCTAGCATGCAGGCTGCTGCTTACTGCTTGACTTCAAGTACCTTATTCAAGCTCTTCTTGTTTACAGCCTGTGCTCGTCCATTCCAACACTGTGTGAGTTATGAAACTAATGCTGATTAAATTTTTCTCCAGACTGTTTCACAATGCAACTGAGAGTGGACTGAGGAGAACTTTCAATCATCAGTCCGTTCTAAATTTTTAGAAATGTGCATATAATGCCCAAACTTATGTGTGCTCAGAGGCAAAGTGCATTTGAACCTGATCTATATATACAATACGTACAAAAGGGAAGCCAGGTCTGACCAATGAGGAAACATTGTCCTCCTAGGAGTGACTATTTCTGTCTTCAAAGACACAGTAAATTCCAGTCTGGCACTTGCTCAGTATCTTCTTGGTTTCGCTCACAGTTGGCAGTGCTATTCATACACTCTACAGTTAACCCAGTGAACGTTCATTCTCCTTCCTTTCAACACTGGTAGCAACAATTACAGGAAGGTTTCTCTGTCACACAGGTGATGGCCAAGGGCGGCATTATATTAGCAGACACCCATGATCTCACTGTGAATCCTGGAGATGGTGAGCAGAACTATGGATTTTTAGCATCTCTGATGATAATTGTGGGGGCAGGGGGCTGTAGAGAAATTCTTTCAATTCAAACATTTAGTGTTTGAATTGAGATGCACTTTCAAAATTAAATTTTTTTAAATGAAGTGGCTTGGGTTAGTTTTGTTTTCTCTGAGTTCTGTCAGGTGCTATTTTTTTTTACGAGAAAATTTTAGAAAATTCAACAAAAAATATGCAGAATGTTTTGATCATTTTTTCCTCAAACCAACACTTTCTACTGACCACTCTACCCTATTCAGATTATGGATGCTTACCAGTGTTGTGAAACTCACGTTAGGTGAGCAGGAAGAACATGCCTCCTTTTCTTTCTCTCTTTCACTTTCCTTGATTTTTTGGGTGTTGTTTCTCCCTTATAAGCATGCAAACACACGCATACCCAAATTCTAACCAATGCATTTAATTTTACTCATATAAATGTCCAAGGATGACACATTTCCGTAACTGAGCCTGGCTATGATACATCTTTAAAAGTCTTTCAACAGTGAGACCAGGGAGACGTTCTGGAAGTCTATGAGAAGGAGTTACACTGCAGTGGGTATAAACAATATATGGAAGTAAAAAAATCTTGCGTTCTGCATGTTCACGGAAGGTTCTGCATCCTCACTAGTAGTAGTGACTAAACTAACACCCTAGCTCATAACTAGATATGTTCTATTGCCTTTGTCCAGGTTGTGACATGAAGCTCAGGCCCAGCTAGGAAGTCTTTCAACACAGAGGGGCATTTTCCACTGTGGTTGGAGTGATAGCTTGGTGTTCCAGCTAAATGCTTGCTTAGCAGTAACTTTGCAAACTTATTTTTTCAACCCCTCTGCAACCTTGACTGCTGTGACCCATTACAACAGTCCCTTATTTCTACATTTTTTTCCCTCATCTATTTTTTGTAGACTGTAAAGTATCTTGGAGCTTGAGGAAGAAAAGGGTTGGAAATATCAAGAAATTATGCCAGATGTTAATGGGGGAGAATCTAGAAGACATGTTAAGGCCCACCAAACTCACTGCATTTGGCTATTAGATGATCACTGTTTGAATGCAGGTGTCTTCAGCAACAGTCATAGACTTCAGCAACACTCATAAACATAGTCATATGCATATCAGTACTCCTGCCACTGCTAACAAAAAATGTTCAGCATGAGTGAACTTGACTTTTTCATCTGGGGAAGACAAATGCATATATTGGAACTTTTGTATGTTGCTTAGCCTCTTTTCTTTCTGTTAGCTTATGGGACATTTCAATTGACCTTCCCTGTTGAGACGGCAGTTGCTCCCCTGGCACGGATGCTTGTGTATACCACTTCACCCAGTGGGGAAGTCATCGCCAGTTCAGCAGATTTCCAGGTTGAAAGTTGCCTCCCCAATAAAGTGAGTATTAGTCAGGATTTATACAGCCCATGTTTGTCTCGTGGCCAGTAGTCCAGTTATCCAGAATGGAGGCAGAATTCACATGTTCATTAAATGATCTGACCAGATGTTGACTGAGGATTAGTGACTGAAACTCCAGAATAAGTTACAAAGCCATAACTATAAAAAATGGAGCAAGACAGAATAAGAAAGAGAATCACTGGTCATAATTAATTACATTGGTCAAAGCTGAATATATATTAGAAGAGCTGTGAGGCGCTAGCAAAGCTCAGTTTGCAAAGGAGATGCTTCAATATAATAGCATGTAACAGTGTCTGGAAAAGGGACTGCTCTAACCTCCTTTTGGGGTTGCAGGTCAGACTCAGTTTTGTACCCAAGGAAGGTCTTCCTGCCTCCAACACAAGCCTGCAACTCCACGCCTCACCAAGGTCCCTGTGTGCCCTCCGTGCTGTGGACAAGAGTGTTCTCCTCATGAAGCCTGAAGATGAGCTCTCTCCCAGCTCTGTAAGTCTTGGTTATTTCTGGTAATGAGCAAGTATAAGAATGAACCAGTTCTTCAACTACAATTAACACCACTATGGATATGGGGTCATGTATTTTTATAGCTGCATTCACTACACTTGGTTTTTAGAAGCTGGTTTTTATCAAAGGAGTGTTAAGTACTGTCTGTGTCCCTGTAAGTGCTGATCTGACACACTTTTCCCTGGTTGTTTGTGTTTCCCCAGGTGTATGATCTTCTCCCACTGAAGGAGATCCGGGGTTATAGCTTCAAGGACTACTACCTGGAAGAAGACAACGTAAATCCTTGTGTGTCACTTGACAACATATTATTAAATGGGTTTGTCTACATACCCATTTCTCCTGACGGCGAAGGTGATGCCTATGACATTCTCAAAGTAAGCTCCAGCCTTCTGTTTTAATCTGTTATTCCTTTTTGGAATATGGTCTCCTCTCCTCTTCTCCCTGTCCTGAAGGGGTTTTTAGTGAACCTTGCTTTGAGCTTGCTGACTTTTGTATGCAAGACTATAACCAGGCCCAGGCCCTGCATCTACGTAGCCAATCATTGGCACCTGACTGCTTCTCCGAACCATTAAAACTTTTAAGGTTCTCCTCATTGCTAGTAGAGATACCTCTGAACGGGCTCAAGTAAGGAAAGAGTCCTGAGAAGTGACCCCTGGTACCATAATATTAGAAACCCTTCCTTCATCATGCATATTCTCTTCTCTTTGTGGTATAGATAGTTCTTAATAAAGTGCCAGTTACTTTGATAACCCACAAGCAAACCTATACACATCTAGAGAGTCCTGCATAAGACTTTTTGGGTACTCTCAATCTAAAGCTTTTCACATATGTCATTTTCACCCAGGCAGATATCCCGAAGGTAGACCTGTGCCCTTAGCTTTCCATCTGATCATGCCAAGATTTAGCCTTAGGATGAGTATAACATGATAAAGCCTCAACATCTGGGTTGAACCAGTCTATCTGGCACTTATATACAAGCCTTTGTTATTCTGATCGATACCAGAACTAAGTACATCTATTCTTGACATACTAAAAATAGTTTATTTTCAAAACTGTGTTTGCATATTTTTTGCTCTTCTTTCTCCTTGTTTACTAGGAATTGGGCTTAAAAGTCTTCACTAGTAGCAAGATCCATAAGCCTGAAATCTGCCAGCATTACCCAGGACACATGATGGAAAGGAGTTACAGTAGTTCTAGTAAGAATACATGCTTCCTCCCACACAACTACCTAAAATTTACCACCCTGCTTCTTTTTCTTCCCTCTACTTCTTTTGAATATTAATTACACCAGGCAGAGCAGATTTTCTTGTCAGATAACACTGACCTAGTTCAGGATCACTCCCTTCTGGCCTCAGTCCTGAAATCTGAAACTGATACACCTCTGCCTGCTTATCCCTAGCTAGACAGATGTGCCTGGCTGGAACTGTGTGTGCTCAGTGACTCCCATGCCAGCCCCTACAGCAGGGATCCTGTAGGCGCTAAGACAGTCTGCCTACATTGGATGGACTGTGTCAGCACAAAGTAGTGGCTTTTTTTCCATCAGATCTGAGTCCAGCCGTGGAAACCTAAAAAAGGGATTTTTACTTCTGGGTAGTCACATTCTAGCAATAACTAGAGGAACAACTAGGGCAAAAGTGGGCCGAGATGAATGAGAAGGTGGTACAATTCTGTGGGTAGATATTTTACCACAGGGGGCTGAGAAATTTGGTTCTGTTTGCAGCTCTCCCACCCACATGACTATAAAAGGGTCATGTCACTTCTCTGCAGCTTCTGTGACTGTGAAGATAGAATAATGATATAACTTTACTTTTTTTTTTCTGAATAGTTCTGAGATTAGAAAGGCTATATAAAACACTCTCACCTATATCACTTCCAGTCACTGACTTTTCCGGTGCAGTTCCCAGCTTCTATTAAAAAATTATAGCTTTTGGTCTCATGATAGCTTCTAGCTTTCTACTCATAACAGATCAGGTCTTTGGTTTTGAAATGCAGGATTTGTCTTCAGAGCATGGCCTGAGACAGCTGGCTGCTTTGAGAAGATACAAAGTCTTCTAAGGCTGGTGTAAAACCTTTCATAAGGCACATCACTCTGCAACACTGTTAGAAAGCATCTTCCTCTTCTGGAACCACTTATTTGCTAATGGCCAGAGATGTAAAGACCCGTATTCATCTCAAAAGAGTCTTAGATGGAGGAGGGGAGGGCTAAGTGTGGCTTCTGTTTCTGGTCATGTATAAACACAATCAATTCTTCAACCAAATTTAATAAACTATGTGCAACTGTAATATCTGGAGGCAGAAAATTCCACATTTGACTCTATTCCAATAGAAATGTACCCTCAATAACATCATACATGGCTCTTTTGCCACTGCTGGGTTTGCTGGCAGTGGGGGAAGAATGCTCAAGTCCATCCATTCTCTGTAACAACAGTAATATTAGGAAAAATGAAGTATTGAGATGACAACAGAGAATTACATTTGTTTCCACTGGTCAAGGTTTCAAAGCTTTTTTTTTCAATTTTAAAATTTTAGCTAAGAATAACCACTACTTGGAAGGAAAGTGTCTTCCTGATTTACAGTGGAGTTTGACACTTCTTTTCCTTTCTTCCTGTCCTTGAACGAATTTGCTAGTCACTGCATTGAATCTGCTTGATGATTTCGACTATGAAATAACGGAACATATGGTTGCTGGCAATCCTGTGGAGACCGTCCGGAAGTACTTCCCTGAGACATGGATCTGGGACATAGTTCCAGTGAAGTAGGTGTACATCGGAATGTAGAGTGTGGTCACTGGGGCAAAACCTGCAAAGACATTTATGCTTCAATGGAAGTATCAGTATTTTCATGAGAGGGGTATTTCTAGTAGACAGAGGGATTTTTCAAGGTCACCAAGTATAAGATGCTTTGGGAGTTTGCTGTCAGCAGGTGTTGTTCAGTAGGCTGAAAAAAACATAGATGATCACCAGAATATAACTGAAACCTTGTTCTCTGTCCCTCGCCAGCTCTGAGGGAAATGCTGATCTAGATGTGACCATCCCTGACACCATCACCGAGTGGAAAGCTAATGCGTTCTGCACTTCGGCAGACACGGGCTTTGGCCTGTCCCCGACAGTGTCCCTCAGAGCCTTCCAGCCCTTCTTTGTAGAGCTTACCATGCCCTACTCTGTAGTGCGTGGTGAGTCCTTCACACTGAAAGCCACCGTTTTCAACTACCTGACCACCTGCATCAGGGTAAGAGATGTTCACAACTTTGCTCAGTTTGACAGCCTATGGAGGGGTACAATGGGCCACATATAACATAGTTTTCCAAGCCAGATGACTGATCTCTGACTATAATTTCATAAAGGTGTACATATGTATGAATTCTTGGCGTATTTAATGAAGGGGAAACATGTTTTCCCAACAAAGTTTTGAAAGCTGTGTTTGATTCAGAACCTAAAGCTCTGCTGCTGAGGCCCCCGGCTTTGTCATCACAGGTTTATGTCATTGTCCTGTGAAACTTGGGTTATGTGCAGACCACAGAGTTATTGCATACCCACATGGAAACTCTAAGTTCACCAGCGTGGATACCTGTGTTCAGCCTTTAGTCTCATCTCATATAAACATCTCACAAATTATCATGCCAGGTTTGCTGGAATATGCAGCCTTCTTGTGATTTATTGCATCTGCCCCTAAGATAATGAGCAGAGCTATACACTTCACTAATCTTATCTGCATTCTTTCACCAACAAAAAAGACAAGATAGAATTTGGGAGGTGATTCAAACAAAATTCCAATCACCTTTTCTCAGTTTTTTATAAATACAGATTTTTATTCTAAAAGGAATGAAGCTGGAACAAGGAGAGGCACTGATCCAGCCATTCCAATGCACTGTCATTTATTTCCCTGTCTTTACTGCTTCGTTTGCTATTTTCAGGTTCCTTATTCCACTCTCCCTTGTTCCCTTACTAGCTTTCCCACTGCTAGTCTTTTACCTCTTCACCTAACTACTCATGAGGGGGGTCTTTAATTCATGGCTAAGTTTTCAGTCATTGCTTTGCCTTTACTCACATAACTGGTCCACGCTCTCCATTTTCCTTTCCAAGGATACACGTCCTGTTCTCCACACTTACCTTCCCAATTTCTTACAGTTGTACACATCTCAGTCTTTTCCCACTTTATCAGCCAGTTCTTGCTCTGCGATATCCATAAGCTTCTCGATCCCACAGTATAATCAGCTCCACTACCCGTGTCCATGTAGTGTACTGTCTCCAGTAACCCCAGCTTCTCTGCAATTCCAACCTTCAAAAAGCCTCTCTGTACAACCGGCAGGTCAGCGTATCTCTGGCTGAATCTACTCATTTTCTGGCTACACCACTGGAGAAGCAGGAAGAATCCTACTGCATCTGCATGAATGAAAGGAAAACTGTGGCTTGGGCGGTAACACCAAGATCTTTAGGTAAGAGGCTGGACAACAAGAAAATACTGGGATCAGGCATCTGTGGATGACAACAGATCTTTGGTGTGAGGAGCTAGGTTACTCCAAACCTGTCTGGAATGATCTTGTGCAGGCCAGAAGTGAGAAGTCCAACCCTGAGGTTGAGACACTACACTGGGATGCAGGTTCCAAGTCCCAGACAAGCTATTTAAGTATTATGTACCATTATTTTCTTAACATTTGAATAGAAATCACAAATTCCCTTAATGCATGCAAAGCACTCAGACATTCCTGTTGTGGAGCTGAGAATGTCCTAGCTTAATGTGACTGGGTCCGAAATATTTTAATCAAAGCTTGCTTTCTCTGAAGCCTCCCAGAACAAGACTGATTTACAAGACCTGCCCCTCCACTACTCTTCTTGCTGATGGACTAACGCCTGCTCAGGTGGCCATCACAAAGGAGGTGGCCTGGAAGGCTGCAGCTGGATCAAGATAAAACACTGTCTCTAGTTTAGTTCTCCTCTCAGAAAACCTTCTCTGTAACACACCAGAGAGTACCCAGCACAAACACAAACCCACATTTCCCTGGCACTGCCTGGCAGCGCTGTCTGACCCCTGTTTCCTCCAGGGCAGGTGGAGTTCTCGGTGAGCACTGAGGCGCTACAGAACCAGCAGCCCTGTGGGAACACCATTGTGGAGACCCCTGAGAAAGGGGGGAAGGACACGGTCATCAGACAGCTGCTGGTAGAGGTATGCGGGATGCTGAGTTTGGTGGCATAGAAATGTAATAATAATTTCATGCTCCACAGCAACAGTTGCTGTATGATAAAGGTTTTCTGGTTTAGCCATGATAGCAGCAATAATGGCTTGTGTGACTCTTACTCTGCACGCTTTTATAAAAGTAGCATTGATAAATCTCACACAGGCCAATAGAGCCCGTAACTCATAATGTTGCCATTTCATAGTAAAAGCCGGGTATGACATTACACAGCAGGACAGAAATAATAAGGCAGGCGATAATGACAGTTTTGTCCCAGATGCATCATCAGGGAGATAAATGAGAACTACTTCGCTTTACCTGTAATATAAATCACAGGGATATATTGCAAATGGAAGACTTGCCAGAAACCTTATGCATCTCCTCCAGCACATGGCCAGTACTCTGGAATATAGAACGGTCACCACAAACTGCAAATATTTCCAAACAAAACTGCCATCATTGTTTTTATTATGCATTTAAAAATGTTCAAAACAGTATGACTTTTTATTTTTGCACTCTTTTGTGCATTTTTTTCTTAAGCAGTGTTTTGCAATGATAAAACCACAGCTTTTCCCATGATAAATAGACAGTCATAAAATTAATCCACAGTGTAAGGCTCTCTGTGATATTAATAGCAAACAAAGAGTACTAGCTTGTTGTATAGTGAAATCTATGTAATATCACATCATAATATTGTCAATCCTATGCATGACAGGAAGGAATAATTGTATTTAACAAAATTAAGTCAGGAGTAATATATAACATTGCATATCCTCCTTACATTGCAGACATTGCAATTTTCAGTAAGGCAGAGCTAGGACTTATGTAATATGTAATTTCAGAAAATGTTTTGCTAACATTCATATCTGTTAGGCTTCTTTTTTTTTCTTTTTTTTTTTTAATTTCACTTATTTACAAATGAATTTGATTGTATAGTGCAGTTCTTTTATCAGGGCACAAATAACTGTTTAACCTTTCAGGAAAACTTCCAATTTCATATATGCCTTCGGGAAAAAGTGTTTATTTTGTTCTTTGAAGATACTGGATGATCAGAACTGTAAAGTCTTTTCTCCCAGATGGCGGGGAAGTGAAAATAACTGAATGAGCACTAAAATGACTTCTTTTAGGGTGTCTGAGAGATTGCTGGTCTTATCCTGTTATTGTAATGAGGTAATAAATCTGCAGCAAGCCCTGACTGGATAGAATCAGAGATTAGTAACCAAGGCTGAACAATTAATTAGCAGGGGTGGATACAGTGTAACTTGCTTGGGGTGGAGCTGCATTGTCCCAAACACATGGATGCCAGTATCCCCTGCAACTGGCACTGCATCCAAGGGAGAGAGAAGGGAGTGTGCCAGAGCCCCGGGGGTGCCTTCTCGCCCCTCGGGAAACCAAGCCTTGCTGAGAGCTGGTCAGGAAACAGGATGTTTTTTCACCCAGGAATTTCTCAGCTGGAAAGGAAAATCTTTCAAATTGTCACAGTTTGTATGTTTTAATTTCCTGTTGAAATGTTCAAAATAAAACAAAACAATGGATTTCTCATTTAGTTGCATTTCAGAACAACATACTGAAACAAATAAGAAAGTGCCTTTTCAAACAGAAGCATTTAGCTCTGTCATAGTTTATCCTAAAAGGGTTTTCTTCCCTCCCCTCACCCCCTTTAATCTTTCTCTGTCTTTTCATACTGAACAATGAGAGACAATGTATTTTAACTGTGTGAGAAAGTGAAGGTAATACCATGGTTTATATGCCAGAAAAAAAATTCAGATGGCAAAAGTTGGGAATCAGTAACAAAGCAATGGGAACTTTCCTATTCGGAAGTTAAAAAAAAATGATGCGGGGATCTCACTGAAATAAACTCCGAAAAAATATTTTTTCTAGTAAAGATTTGATTCCTGAGTTTTATGCAGAATGTTTTCAACCAGCTCAACAGAAAACAGGATGACTTTGCTGACTTCAAAAATTAGGATAGAAGTTTTTGAAACAGAGGGATGCAATCACCAGTTGACTGTGGCATGTATTTAAATTTTGGGTGTTGCAACGTGTCACTTGTGGGTGCATTGGAGTGCTCTAGTTGCCACCTGTCACAGCTCTTGCGTACATATCCTACTGGTGTCCCAGGCACTCAGCCATCATCACAGCCTGAAGAGTTCTGCTACACTGGACCAAGGTGGGTAGCACCTTGGAAGCCAGAGCCCCGTGCACTGTTAGTAACATCATCTTGCATGTTACCTGCATCATAACCTGTGACGATGAAGGGCTTCTCTCAGTAATAAGAAAGGAAAGAACATGTATTAAATTTCATGTTTGTAATTAGCCAATATATTATGGTCCTCAATTATCCTCAGTTTAGCACACAGAAGAAAAAAACTTTGTAAGCAATTTCTAAAGACTTTTCAGTATAATGAAGTTATTACCACAAGACAATTTATAAGTATTTAATTTTCTCAGAGTCCCTTTCAGTTTCCATCTTAATATATCTTCCTTTTCTTTTTTTTGTTGTTGTTTCTCATTTTTTGCTTTTCTTCCTGCTGTTTTCCCCAAGCCGGAAGGGACTGAGGTGGAAACTACCTACAACTCTGTGCTCTGTGCATCTGGTAAGACCCTTTTGCTTTCTAAGACTTTGATGAGGTTGACACTAAAGACAAAGGGAGAAGACAATGTTTGTGAATGCTCCACTCTGAGAAGAAAGGTGTAGGGATCAGATAAAATTGAACAATCTGGTAGTGAAACTAATTCTTCCTAAAGGAGAACAGCTGAGACTGTAATAGTCCCTGCAATTACAGAGGCAGAAGCCTTAGGAACTTAGGGTAGGAACTTAGGCCAGGTCCCTGTAGGGAGAGAATATCTGCATTTTAATAGGGTTATCTCTAACGTCTTTCATACAATGGGTGTAAAATCACAAACCGGTCTCTGCAGTAAGCCAGGTGTGTCCGCCAAAGCAGAAGAGGCCAGAAAAATAGGCTGGTAAGTGTATTTGTCAGTCAAGGCCAGCTGCTAGTCCCATGTAGAAGTCCGTGACAGTCTGTGTGTGAACGTATTGCAGGCCCAACACAAAATCTGCAGGATGGGAAGATTCCACAACAAAATTACAGATAAATGGATTTGGTGAAGAGAAGAAACCCCTGTGCAGGGAATGGTACCTCTTAGCTGCTACCCATACATGTAGATATATCTGGAATTGTAACCAAATTGATCTGGTTTTTATCCCAGAAAAGTCAATGTCAGAGCCAGTCTCCCTCGTTCTCCCAGAGACTGTGGTGGATGGCTCAGCCAGAGCATATTTCTCAGTGCTAGGTAAGTGAAGCATTCTTGAAGTGTCACATGCTATTTTGAAACACTGCCATGTTTCTTCAGGCTGTGCTCAGTCTACTGGCAAGCCCTGAACTGCGCTAATTTACACTGGAAACTGTCCCATTCCCCAGGCGACATCATGGGCACTGCCATGCAGAACCTGCACCAGCTCCTCCAGATGCCGTTCGGCTGTGGGGAGCAGAACATGGTCCTCTTTGCACCCAACATCTACGTCCTGGACTATCTGAACAAGACAGGGCAGCTGAGTGAGGAGGTCAAATCCAAGGCCATTGGCTACTTAGTGAGCGGTGAGATGGGACACGTCTTTTGCTTCTCTGTTCATTCCTTCCCTTGACAACTGGATAAGGACACTATTGGCCACTGGTATATATGATCTGGGGGAGGTTATCCTGGTGCATTAAGGGAAGATGTGGTGGGTCAGGAGTATATAACACAATAGCTATGAGAGAATCCTGCACTCAGGTGGAGGTACAGGGTGAGAGAGGACAGCATCCAAACAGGAACACAGAAAAAGTCCAGGACTGGCAATAACTCAGAGTTCTCTTCATAAGAAAAGGGATATATGAAATCCATAAATCAGGCTGTAACCATTAATCATGGCAGCTGCTTATGTAGATCTTGGACCTTCCTTAGGATTAAGATTTAGATAGTGTCACACACCTTCAACTAGGCCAGAATTTTAACACACTAGCTAGGACATGTTGGCAGACATAACACCAGTACACATGGAGATGGTGGATATCTGCTGACTAACAAGGGATTGGTTTTACTCAGTTATTTTGCAGAAAAACTGCACTTCCTCCAATGAAAGCTATCCTGTTTGCTGCATCCCTATCCTGTGTGGGGCTCACCTTTGTATTCAGTTCTCCTCTGGGAAGTGTTTTCCCATTTCTCTGAAGTCAGGGATACATTTACCTCTCCTCATCAAGTCTAGGGCAGAGAGTGGCAATAACCGTAGATACCCAGTTTCCAGGTCTTTTAGAAGAGGAAGAGCACAAGGATGGAGGTAGTCAGAGCTGTGGGTTTGCCTCATCTTCCACTGTAACACTGAGTAGTGTACCTTACACTTGTGCCATTGGAAGGGGGACACTATGTCCCATGTCTGCTACATTTCCTTTGCACAGCTCCTTGAAAAGTACTGTGACAACTAAAATATTCTTCCACTCTCTATTTCAGGGTATCAAAGGCAATTGAACTACAAACACTGGGATGGTTCTTATAGCACCTTTGGGCCCCGTTACGGGCAAGTTGGGAATACCTGGTAAGACTTCAGTACCACTGGCCACAGTACCATTTCTGGTTTTCACGCCCCTTCTTTCCTCAGTGTTCTCTTGTGCTTCATCATTGTGGAGGTTGAAATAGAGGTGGAGACAAAATGATCATCATGGCATCATAGGACAGTCATGTGGGATAATGGAGCAGGGAATGATGCTAAGGGAGACGCCTTTTAGGTTTCAAGTGCTGCACTGATAGCTACTTACCTCCCTTGCCACCCTTCTTCAGCTCAAGTGAGGGTGACCCGCAGGATGCCCTAGCTAGTTCTTGTTAGCCAAAGATGCTATGAATGCAGATGAATCCCCAGAGCACCATTGCCCCCCTACCCACAGCCCTCAGGGCTATGAATGTCAGGCTTGATTTACCATTGGTCCCTATCTCACCAAGTCACTAAGCTAGCTCACAGTTTCCAACCAGCCCCCCATGATCTAGTTCTGTAGCCTCTCCTGCTTTCTTCCACAACAGTGATGCCCACGTGCGCCCTATGGCCTATGGCGGATACAGGGCCTGCTCAGGATGTCTCAATTCTCTCTGTCACTTTCAGGCTCACAGCCTTTGTGCTCAAGTCCTTTGCCCAGGCCCGGCCTCACATCTTCATAGATGAGAAGCACATCCAGGATGCTTTGGTCTGGCTTTCCTACAAACAGAAGGAGAATGGCTGTTTCCGCAGTTCTGGGACACTCCTGAACAATGCCATGAAGGTAATGCGTCTGCCTGGTTGGCTCCACATGAGCTTTGTCAGGCCCATGACTTGACCACAAGTCACTCTGGGACTAAAAGAACTATTTCAGCGCTTGGGGACTGGGATGGAGAGGGAGTTAAGTATGTGAGCTATCACAGAACCGGGAAGAAGCCAACAGCAGCTTCTGAAGGACTTAGCATGAGAAGGAGGCTAGGAAGAATTTGTCCCTGGAGGATGTAGATATGTAGCAGAGGGAGAAGGCAGTGGTGCTGTGTGGGATCAACATCTACTTTTGTGGTTCCCCTGCAGGGTGGAGTGAATGATGAGACCACGCTGACGGCCTACATCACTATCGCATTGCTGGAGATTCCTCTGCCTGTAACCGTATGTGTCTGCATCCCAACACAAGCCACAGATGGTACTAACCTACCCTACTAGTGGCCCCCAAAATTATCAGGTCCCTTTAACTTTTGAAAGGAGAAATCCTGTCTGAATATTCTTTCCATTCAACCTAGACTGGAATAACATTTTGTCCTCCATTTTCCTCCCCTGTTCAATCTTGTCTCCCATATTCATTTCACTTCACTTAATCTTTTCCTGAGTTCTTTTGTGGAGAATCAAGCTTTTGCTCCTTTAAAAGAGTACAGCTTGGATTAACAGTGAGTTAAACAATACTTAAATCTCCGAAATGAGCCAAATACGGTTTAGACACCCACAAAAATCTCCTTTTGTTTGTTGGAATAGTACATTCCTGTTGAACCACTTGTACGGGCCTATTGTGTTGACACAACAGCACACATCTGTAAGAAAAGGTTGCATACTCAGGGATTCATTCTCATTTTGTCTGCCTCTTTTAGATTGTTTTATGGGAAATCCCCATCCTTAATGCTTGGGAAATAAGGTCTACCTATAGGTAATAAGGTATACCTATAGGGAATACCATAAACAATAGTCTGTGAAAAGCCTGAAGCCTATGTAAAGCCACGTGAGTTTGGTCATTCTGATCCCTGAATCTATGATCCCCTCACTGTGAGACAAGCCTTTGGTGCAGGTAAAATTGGGGTGTGAATTGCGGCAGAAGGTCTGGTGAGCCAGGATTGCCCGACTGGTTGCCGGGCTGCTATAATCTCTCTTCTCCAAACATAGTACAGACTACTTTGTGTTGAAAGTTTTTCCTGTATAGTGAGAACCAGCAGAAGGAATTATTTTGTCAGTAGGGTGACATGGATGACATTAACTTCAACAGGAGCGTATTATTTCCTTGGTATGTATTGTGTTTAGAAGGCAAGTTCTCAGGCAGAACTGTATTGGATAGCAAGGACATTTTTCATTTATCTGTCTGAGCCTAAAAGTGCCACTGAACGTGGAGGGGTTTGTCAGAATCTGATGGAGACATGGGTGCATTTCAAGTTAAGCTGCACAAAACTCCTGAGCATAGCACAGCCCTTAGGTATATGGAGTATTTCTGTAAGTAAAATAAGCCATATTAGACCCCTCATAAAAAACTTACTAGTACTGTCCTGAGCACGTGTATCTACTGCCATGTCCTGTCATTTGACTGAACTCCTCCCCAACACTTACCTTACATGTAGCAGGAAGCATAGGAAATATACGACAAGGCACAGACCCAACCAATTTTATTTTTATTCTTTGCTTTCTCAAAAGCAGCTGAACTGCTTCTCCAAAAGTGACCACAAAAGATTCAATCTTCCAGTACACACCCACTGAAGGCAAACTACAAAGTAAAAAGCCACTGAAAAAAAAAAAAAGTCTTTTCCCTCTAGACCACTGATTAAGCTGTAAACATGCTGTTAGGCTTCAGATCATGGCATGCCCCCTGCAGAGTTATTGCTTCAATTTTATAACAGTTTTTCCATCACAAATGAGGAATAGTCACGTGTCTCGCTGAAAGGTCATGGGGTCACAGTGTCTGTTACTTAACACTATGTAAAGTAGCTATATCTTGCTTTGCTGTAGAGATTTTGCTTTTAAGCCATGCTTGAGATTCTGGTTTCAAAAAACCATGCATTGTTGATGTTAACACATCACTAAAAATACTCCAGAAAATAGAAAAAAGATATTCTTTCTTGTGCAGAGACAGACATTACGTCCAAGCTAGAAGGTACGTTATCAAGTTTCTACAAAATGAAATTATTCCAGAAGGCCCTGGAAAAGGGGAATTAAACATAAAAAGAAAAGGATAGAGCAGAGGTGAAAGCACAGAACAGACGCAGGGTGATTGCTAGAGGAGGAAAGCAAGTATCTAGTACATCTACAGAGAGGAAGTATGTCAGAGAACTCCCCTTGCCCTGAGACACAATCAGGACAGTAATTCTTCTCAAGGCCTTGCTTCACAGTCTTTAAATCAACCTGGGAGAAAAACATTACAACAAGATGTATTACAGAAAAGCATACACAAGATAAGGAACAGGCTCTGGCTGCTCATTCATTACAGGCAGTATTGGACCTGGAGGGGAAGGGACACACAATAGCACAATCTTTGTCAGACAGGACAGTGGGGATGTCAAGGGCGCATAGGTACCATCTGATTTCTGTTGTTCTAAGATGGACCTCAGTATGAGCTTTGGCTGCTCCACCTCAGTCTCTCTCTCTCTCTTCCCAGCACTCAGTGGTCCGTAACGCTCTCTTCTGCCTGGAGACAGCAGCAAATGAGAAAGAAAACCATGTGTACACCAAGGCACTGATGGCGTATGCCTTCGCCCTGGCAGGGAAGCAAGACAAGCGGAAGGCATTGCTTGCCTCACTTGAAAAGGAAGCTGTGAAAAAGGGTGAGTGCTCCTGGTGGGACATGTCTTTCTTCCAACCCACTGGCTTTACATCTTCCCTTGATAACATGTCTTTTGTTGGTGGGGCAATGACTGCAGGAAATTTCTTCTGTGGGTGGGGAGAGGTGGAGGGAGAGGAAGGACTTGTGCAAAGGGGTTGTGTTTTTGAGGACTTCCTTTCAGTGCCCAGTCCTACTTCTCTGCTCCGAGGGAGTTTGTCAGGAAGCAGCACGCACCATCCCCATCGGTGTTCAACTGAAGGGTAGTTCTGCCAGCGTCTCTCCTCAGTTCGCTCCTCTTGCCACACCAGGCACAGCTTAGCAAAGGTTTAGCCATGTTTATGGCCACTCCTTCCTCCCAGTGCACGTGCTCAACATAGAACAAAGCTGACCTTGCACAGCACAAGGGACGATAAATCAGAGGAGAGCTGCAAGTGCTGAGAGAGAAAATGAACATACAGGTCATTTCAGAGGCCACAGCATAAGCTCTGAGTCTTCCAGGAAATCACGTAATGGCTCGGCAGCATTCTGGTAAAGTCAGGCCACACAG